TTGTGTGTAATGGTTAGATTTTGTGTGGAGGCTATTTATACCCCTCCACCCACTCTTCATCATAGAGAGAGCCATCAGAACATGCCTACACTTCTAACTTATATTTTCTGAGAGAGAACCGCCTACACTTGTGTTGAGGTCAAGATATTCCACTCCTACCACATAAATCTTGATCTCTAGCCTTCCCCAAGTTGCTTTCCACTCAAATCATATTTCCACCAAATCCAAATCCTGTGAGAAAGAGTTGAGTGTTGGGGAGAGCATCATTTGAAGCACAAGAGCAAGGAGTTCATCATCAACACACCATTTGTTACCTCTTGAAGAGTGGTGTCTCCTAGATTGGTTAGGTGTCACTTGGGAGCCTCCGTCAAGATTGTGGAGTTGAACCAAGGAGTTTGTAAGGGCAAGGAGATCGCCTACTTCATGAAGATCTACCCGGGTGAGGCAAGTCCGTGGGCGATGGCCATGGTGGGATAGACAAGGTTGCTTCTTCGTGGACCCTTCGTGGGTGGAGCCCTCCGTGGACTCACGCAACCGTTAACCTTCGTGGGTTGAAGTCTCCATCAACGTGGATGTACGATAGCACCACCTATCGGAACCACGCCAAAAATCTTCGTATCTACATTGCGTTTGCTCCCTCCAAACTCCTCCCTTTACCTTCATATGCAATTGTTTTACATTCCGCTGCTATACTCTTAGAATTGCATGTGTAGTTTGATTGCTTGATTTGTGCTAAGTTGCCAAAACCTGCCTAGAACTAAAATTGGGAAAAGGCTAGATTTTTATTTGGTCAAGTAGTTTAATCATCCGCTCTAGACAGACTTTCGATCCTACACATAGTCCTATCAACATACAACTAACCCTATGGCGTGATCCACGCGCGCGCTCATATGATGGGCACCAAAGGACAACAACATAACCACAAGCAAATTAAACCAATCATAGCAATTCACCAATTACCGATAGGACAACGAAAATCTACTCAGACATCATAGGATGGCAACACATCATTGGATAATAATATGAAGTATAAAGCACCATGTTCAAGTAGAGGGTACAACGGGTTGCAGGAGAGTGGACCGTTGTAGATAGATGGGGGAAGGTGATGAAGATGTTGGTGAAGATGACGGAAGTGTTGGTGTAGACCACCATCACACGATGATGGCCCCGGCGGCGTCCCGGCGCCACCGGGAGAGAGGGGGAGAGGGCCCCCCTTCTTCTTCTTCTTCTTACTTAACCTTCTCCCTAGATGGGAGAAGGGTTTCCCCTCTGGTCCTTGGCTTTCATGGCGGCGGAGGGGCGAGAGCCCCTCCGAGATTGGATCTGTCTCTCTGTCTCTCTCTGTTTCTGCGTTCCTGATTCTGCCCTTTCATCGTTTCTTATATTCCCGGAGATCCATAACTCCGATTGGGCTGAAATTTGGACACGATTTCTATCCGGATATTGGCTTTCTTGCGGCGAAAGAAGGGCACCAACCGCCTTACGAGGTGGCCACGAGGGCCCAGGGTGCGCCTGACCCCCTAGGGCGCGCCCCCTGCCTCGTGGCCCCCTCGGGCATCGTCTCGCGTTGATTCTTCTTCCCAAAAATCACATATATTCCAAAAAAATCTCCGTCAGTTTTTATCCCGTTTGGACTCTATTTGATATGGATTTTCTGCGAAACAAAAAACATGCAATAAACAGGAACTAGCACTGGGCACTGGATCAATATGTTAGTCCCAAAAAATAGTATAAAAAGTTGCCAAAAGTATATGAAAGTTGTATAATATTGGCATGGAACAATAAAAAATTATAGATACGACAGAGACGTATCAGATCCTGTGGTTAACTCCTTAGTCACATTGAGCTCGTTATGATGATGCATTACCGAGTGGTCCCAGAGATACCTCTCCGTCATACGGAGTGACAAATCCCAGCCTCGATTCGTGCCAACTGAACATACACTTTTGGAGATACCTATAGTGCACCTTTATAGCCACCTAGTTACGTTGTGACGTTTGGTACACCCATAGTATTCCTACGGTATCCGAGAGTTGCACAATCTCATGGTCTAAGGAAATGATACTTGACATTAGAAAAACTTTTAGCAAACGAACTACATGATCTTGTGCTATGCTTAGGATTGAGTCTTGTCCATCACATCATCCTCCTAATGATGTGATCCCGTTATCAACGACATCCAATGTTCATGGTCAGGAAACCATGACCATCTATTGAGCAACGAGTTGGTCAACTAGAGGCTTACTTGGGACATATTACGATCTATGTATTCACACATGTATTACGGTTTTCGGTTAATACAATTATAGCATGAACAATAGACAATTATCATGAACAAGAAAATATAATAATAACCACTTTATTATTGCCTCTAGGGCATATTTCCAACATCAACTGCTCTGTTTTAGTTAGTTCTTCTTGCTCATTTGGTAATTTTGTTGGCTCCTCTCTAGTTAACATTTTTATGATTGGAGCTTGCTTGCACTTATGCCCATGAAACCACATATCCATCACTTCTCGGGCTCTCTGGCTCTCTGAATGGCACGTGGGTGCTTAACTTATGTTCCCTTTTCCATTAGTTAAACCCTGAGTATAAGATTGAAATACCTGCTTCTGTATGACTGATGTTAATGGAGGATAAGATTTCCTGGCAGGAGTGCCTTGCTCAATGTCAAACAGCCAACCAATAAAAATCTATAGATTCTGGTTTCAAAGGCCTTAACTAAAACTTGATAGTTGCTCTAATTCCATTAACATAGCACTTTACAAAACACATTTCTAAAAGATTTGGGTTATCTTCCTGGATCTCAGTCATCAGATTCTCAAACTAATCAGTGTGTTCAACAATGGAGAGATTATTCTGACAAAAATCATTGAATCTGTCCACTAAAACGTAAGTACTGGATGTTGAAAAATGATGTAGTATTTCTGCACAAAATTGCCCCCAAGTGTACTTTTCTTGAGAATCCCTAGTCTTCTCAGCCACACATCACCGCTACCCACAAAATGCATATTTGCTAATGACATTTTGTACTCAGGTGGTGCCCTTGCCATTTTGAAATATGTTTTAGCATGTCTGGTCCACTGATGGATTTGACCCATCAAACTTGGGAAATTCCATCCTTGGACCCAAATGGATTTGACCCCTCCGTCACTCAACCATCTTTGCACCGATGTTGTGATCGTGAGTGATCTCCCGCCACTAATTGGCCTCCTCGACCCCCCACCTCCACGTCACCTTTATCTAGACATTGCGCATGGTGTTATGTGTTTCCTTTAGAGCAAGCATACAAATGTTTTAATTAGGGACATCTGATGGCGTAGGTGTGATTGGTTGCATCTAAGGGTGTGGTTGGTTTGGGTACGAAATATATTGCAATGGCGTGGTTCCATTCCATTTAAATGAGTTAGTTCCGTTCGAGTTTTTGGTTGAGGGCAATTAGATGAACGGAAATGCTTCTGTTTTAGTGTTTGGTAGGAGAGATCGAATGGAACGGATTTAGTTCAACTCACCTCTAGCATAGAAATAGAAAGGGTGAGATCACATCTCACATATGTATTGTCGGGGTAGCTAAACATATTGCCAAAATACAACTCATCCATTTATATACATGTTAAAATACATAAGTCATCCACTTTTACATGCATGTTTAAAGAAAATACAAGTCATTCACACAAAAGTTCTCGATAGCAAGAGTCCACAAGATCAAACAGTTCACATTGGTATTAAACATATCAACTAACTCTGCTCGTGATCACATAAAAATGCAAGAGTTAATTTAATAAAAAGGTACACACTATTGCAACTAACATTTATATAACTTCAGGCTACATTTTATACTCATTGATTCAAAGAAATTTCATATGATTTTTGAAGGATTTGTATCCTTAGGAATTTTTCCCACACATGTTGTTTGGTCCACATGAATGAAATCATTGAAAAAACCCTAATAATTGCTTTGCACACTGTTTTGGATGCTTTTCCATCCATAAACCTCTTGAATCCAAAAACCCCGTGTTTATTTTTTTGGAACACTTGCATTCTAAACTTATGGTGGACCAACCAAGTCGGTGGTCACAACACATGTTACATCAAGCGGGAGATCGGGTGGCCATAAAGCTTGGTACTCGCATTGCTCCCACAACCATAGGATGTCATCACATGAGCCGGTTGATTACAAGTTCTAGGGCAATACGAGACCCGATAATCAATAAAACCTACTTGGAGCATGTAATTTTCTTCTCGGAAAAGCATGCCAAGAAGGTCGGGATCAAGGCTAGTAGAAGATACCGCATGTTGGAGTGCAAGATAGTTTGTTTCAAACACCAAACGTCCACACGTTTCATTTCCTGAGCCTCCACGAACTGAATGGCATTTAGCAAGGCCGGCACTTCAGAATGGAGCGCTTCTGTGTGCCGTGTTAAGTCCTTATGGTTTTCTATTATGCATTTTGAGAAGGGCCCTGCAACGTGTCGATCGACGGATCTTTTTAAAAGACCCGCCTCCTCGCGAGCCATCATATCTGTGGTGGATCGAGCGGTCGAGCGTCATCTTCTATCACTGCAACACAAGTCATGTTGCAAAATCAGAAAAAATTGTAACATAGTTCAAGTTGCAGATTATTTTTGCAATATAGGTCTTGTTTCAGTTTTTTGTCACAAAGGTCTTGTTGCAATTTATTTATTTTTGCAAGAGGTCTCGTTGGATTTTTTTTGCAATAGATGTTTTGTTACATTTTTATTTTGCAACAGAGACCATGTTGCAGAAATTCACTACACGCCGGTGCCGGACATGAAAACTCACGGTGGACGCGGACAGCTAGCAGCAACACGCCGGCGCCGGACGTAGGAACTCATGGTGGACACGGACGCCGGTGCTCCCCCGGGACAACGAATACATCTTGAGCTCAGGCGCACCGCGACAGACGATGTTCATGGTGGAGGTGGGCGACAGCGGCCGCAGACGACCTCATCGGCGTGCTGCTGGCGGTCGGAGCAACATGAAGAAGCGTCGGCTTGACGGGAGCTCAGGAGGAGCACGAGTGCGACTGCTCTCAAGGGGATCCAGATCCAGATCCCGCAACACACTAGGACCTAATTTGGTTCCAAGGGGGGGTAACCCAGGGCTCTAATCCCCCACGAGGGGATTTCCATGGACGTAGGGGGTCCTCGACCCCCACCACGAGGATATCAGCATGTCAGTTTGTACAATAGAGGAGAGGGGAGAAGATCACGTCCCGAAAAAATGCTAGAAAAGCTTCAGGCGCTGGCCCAGTCTGTCACTGTCACCGCTGGCGCTGCCGGAGGAGTGGCGTGTGGAGGCGGTTCTCAAGCAAGGGGGCGGGGGTGTCGATTTCCAGTCATTGTACAGGGAAGCATGGATGCTCGAGGCAAAGGCCATTAGCTCTCGGTCGGAGGAGAGTCGCAAGCGAACGAGGCGAGGGTTTTCTCCCTAACCCGTCGACACCAAGAAATCTGACTCAAGGACAAGGCCGTGGCAAGGCCAGGGATCTTCTCCCCTCGCATCTACCCAATGGGTCTGTCTACTTCCCTAGGCCCAACTTAGCCCGTGGTTTACCCACCCGGGGAAAAGGCCGGGATCCTCTTGGGATCCCTTAGAACCAAATGAGGCCTAGTTGTTGCGGGGAAAGACCGCAACAACGATACCGTTGTAAAACCTAGCTATATGATTAAAATCGGATCCAACGGGCCACGGAGGCGGTGGACGCACGCATCGCTATCCGTGGGGTGATCCTAATAATTTCCCATTTGAGAATCCCTCGTATATTCTTTTTTCGAGGGGTGCATCATTTTTTTCCTTTGAGAAAAAGAATCCCTGGGCCGGCCACAACAACTCTCGCGTCGTCCACCTGTAAGTATGGGCTAGAACCACCGGGCCTTCTTGGCCCACTCAACCCAACGGCGACACGCCCTAAATCCACGCCAACCCCTGGACCCACGGCTCAGCGTCTCTCGTCTCTGCACGCGCGGGTCGCTTGCACCGAGCCCTAGCCACTACTACAAGCAGCCGCCACCGCCTATCCCCCCCAGTCCCAGCCCCCGCTTCCATTCTAATCCGCCCCCTCCCGAGACGCCAAAGCCCCAAACCCCTTGCCCTCCCAAACCCTAACCCTAAAACCTCCGCCCTCCCGCCGCCGCCGCCGCCCGATTCCCCTCCCCAGCCTCCGCATCCCGCCTACGGCTTGAACGGTGAGGAATTCCCAGGCTCCTCTCGCGCGTCCGGGGCTCGATTCGGGCGGCTTCGTGCCTTCCCCGGGTGTTTTCGCGGCCATTTCCTAACCTTCTCGGGTCCTTGTTCAGATGTCGTCCGACGAGGAGGTCAGGGAGGAGAAGGAGCTCGACCTCTCCTCCAACGAGGTCGTCACCAAGTACAAGACCGCCGCCGAGATCATTAACAGTAATCTCGCCTCCCTAGACACTCGTTTGCTGTTTGTGCTGCTGTAGCGCGCGATGCGATTTTTAGTTATCGGGGCAGGCTGTCCCGGATTAGGGTGTGTATTGTTACCTGTTGCTGAATTTAGCTGTTTGGTCGGTAGCTCTGCAAGCTTTAAGGAGTGTCCATACAGCTCCCTGCAGAGGAATGATATTATTAACATGATTAGAGTCCTGATGTTCTGGTTGTAGTTTTATGACACTGGTAGTTTTTGTTTGCTCCATTTTGTTGGTGATGTTGTACTCTATATTCTGTTATGTTCACAGTTCGCCTTCATGTAATTTTAAAATTCAGTGTGCACGTCTTTTCTCTGTTTGCTCCGTTTTGTTGGTGATGTTGCACCCTGCTCTGTTATGTGCATGGTTTGCCTTCATGAAACATCCAAGATTCTGTGTGCACGTCTTTCTCTGTTTGCTCCATTTTGCTGGTGATATTGTATTCTACTTTGCTATGTTCACCTTTATGTAATTTCAAAATTCAGCGCACGCCTTTCTTTGTTTGCTCCATTTTGTTGGTGATGATGCACTCTACTCTGTAATGTTCACCTTCATGTAATTTCAAAATTCAGTGTGCAATTCATTCTTTGTTTGCTTTTGTTGTTGATGACTCACCCTACTCTGTTATGTTTTCACCTTCATGCAATTTTAAAATTCAGTGTGCACGTGCTGAGAAAGGCTGTAACTGTAGTGTGAGGTTCTCAGTGTCTCGGATTGGGCTGTTTTTGTGGGATGGGCCATGGCATGTGAATGCGCATTTATAATTGATATGTATGATGTCATTAGATATCTAATTCTTACTTGATATTCATTGTGGAACAGAGGCTCTGAAGTTGGTATTGTCGGAGTGCAAGCCGAAAGCCAAGATTGTTGACATTTGTGAGAAGGGTGACAATTTCATAACAGAGTAATGCATCCAGTTTTGTCTTTCATAACATATTCCTTGCTGTCTCCTTGCTGGATTCCTGATTACATGGTGTTTCCTGTTGATGGCAGGCAAACTGGGAATGTCTACAAGAACGTGAAGAGGAAGATTGAAAGGGGCATTGCTTTCCCGACATGTGTATCTGTGAACAACACCGTCTGTCATTTCTCCCCACTAGCAACTGACGATTCTGTACTCGAAGAAAATGACATGGTGAAGATGTATGTCTCCCTTTAACCTTTCTACCATGTGTTTATCTTATTATTTCACCACATGCCTTGATGATTCTGCTCTCATTTGACAGCGATATGGCTTGCCATATTGATGGTTTTATTGCTGTGGTGGCTCATACACATGTAATCAAAGCTGGGCCAGTTACTGGAAGAGCAGCTAATGTTCTTGCTGCTGCAAACACAGCAGCAGAAGTTGCAATGAGGCTTGTTAGACCTGGCAAGAAGGTACATTATGTATAGATTATCCCATTGGTTGCCTTTCACAAGTTATCTTCTTTTTCTTTCACTGCATGGTTGCTGAAATTTCTCTCTGAATAAGTAGTCTTCTCCTTTCTCTTTGTAATAGTCTATTGATATGCTGGTTTTATTAGTAATCCGCTCCTTATATTTTCTCCAGAATAAGGATGTCACTGAAGCAATTCAGAAAGTTGCTGCTGCTTATGATTGTAAAATTGTTGAAGGAGTTCTTAGCCATCAGCTGAAACAATTTGTCATCGATGGTAACAAAGTGGTACTTAGTGTTTCAAACGCGGACACAAAGGTGGATGATGCTGAATTTGAAGAAAATGAAGTGTATGCAATTGATATTGTCACCAGCACTGGCGAGGGAAAGGTGATAATAGATGTTCTTGGCATGATGATATTTTGGCTTGCATGTTTTATACTGTCCTTAATTACATTTATGTTGAAATGTAATTCACAGCCGAAGCTACTGGATGAGAAGCAGACCACTATTTACAAGAGAGCTGTAGACAAGAACTATCACTTGAAGATGAAGGCATCAAGGTTCATCTTCAGTGAGATTAGCCAGAAGTTCCCAATCATGCCATTCACTGCTAGGTGTGTGAATGCACATTAATTTTTTGTGACACCCATTATTTTAGTCTACTAACCTATGTTGTGAATTGTGGCAGGGCGCTGGAGGAGAAGCGTGCACGCTTAGGTTTGGTAGAATGCATGAATCATGAGCTGTTGCAGCCATACCCTGTTCTACATGAGAAGCAAGGTAGTTATGATAATCCACTGGACATATTTTAGAATTTGTCCTGTGACTTGTGTCAAGTCACTTGGGGTTGTAGATCTTTTGAACTGTCTGAATTGTTTGTGTTCATTTGTCATTTTTTGCTTATCTTATCTGATAGTAATTAGTCTCCCTTCCATGCTTGTTTTGGCTCTTAATTGCTGGTGTTTATGCAGGCGACCTGGTTGCCCACATCAAGTTCACCGTGTTGTTGATGCCAAATGGGTCTGACAAGATAACTTCACATCCACTACAGCAACTGGAGCCCTCAAAATCCATCGAGGGCGATGCTGAGATTAAGGCTTGGCTTGCTTTGGGCACAAAGTCAAAGAAGAAGGGTGGTGGCAAGAAAAAGAAAGGTTTGCTTGGTTGACATTGTATATGCTGCTCTGTTTGGTTGCTGATACATGAGTTATTTTCCTGATTGCTAGACTGGTTTACATCTGTCTCAAGTCCCTTGGAACTCACAGAGTTTTTTTTATTTTTTAATAGGCAAGAAAGGAGATGCGGCAGAAGTAGCAGAGCCCATGGAGGTTTCTAAGGACGCACCAAGCCAGGAATAATTCTCATTTTTTTTGAATTGCTTCCTTTACGTTTGTACCTGCTCTTTGCTGCATCTGATTGTGTTATATTACATTCAGCTGTGGGGATTTGAGTACCTTTTTTTGAAGTGTCTAATGAAAATGGTTGATCCTGGTGCACATCACATCAAAGTACAAGCCTGATAATTATGCATGGTGTGCCGAATGTTTACCTGTCAGTAATGCTTATAAATCCGGCGTAAGTTCCACTACTGTGTGATGTTTACCTGTGCTTTACCGTTTTAGGTGTGGCTGATTGGTGTTCACCTACGTTATTTGTTCTGGGCAATTGCTCACGAACGTTTTGGCTTTTATGTCTGTTCGAGGATTCTGGTGTTTCTCTATACAATCTTGCTATGGTTGAAGTTTCGTCGTTTTGTTGAATGCATGCTTTTCCCACTTAGTTTGATATTATTCAGCCATGAGGAGCACGGTATAAGACTTGAGGATTCATGCAATAAGTAAAAAACGAATTCATGTAAAAGGTGAGAAAGGATCGATGTGGCGGCTATCAATCAATTTAGTCTTATTTGGTTGTCAGGGGTACAGCACTCAGGTAAACAAGCAGCAGGTGAGAATTTTTCTGTCATTTGGGAAACCAGGTTCATGAGAAAAAAATCAATGTTTTAAATAGCGGGCTATGGCATTTAGCGGCGATCCTTAAAAACAGCTATAGCGGCAAATTGTATATGAAATCATTTAGCGGCAACATCTTCAAACAGCTATAGCGAGAGCGGCGTTTCGGTGCCTGGGTGCATCTGCACCCGGTCAAAAAAAATTCATAAAAAATTTAGAAAAAATTAGGGTGGTAGACAATTTGATGCGTGAGGTACGCTTCAATTTTCAGAACATTTGGACTTTTGTGCAGTTTTCAGCAAAAAAGATAAATCAGACCAGAACAGTATATGAACAGTACACATTTTTACAGACCTCCGATTTGTTCTTTTTGCTGAGAGCTGCACAGAAGTCCAAATATTTTGAAAATTAGAGCATACCTCACGCATCAAATTGTCTACCATCCTAAATTTTTTTGGAATTTTTTGAATCTTTTTAGTATTTATTTTGATTTTTTTTATGAGCGCAGGTGCAGATGAGCTCGGGCTCAGATTCGAATTTTCAGGCTATAGCCGGCTATTTAAAACTATGAAAAAAAAAAGAAAAGCCAGGAACTGGGAGAGCTCGTCCTGAATGCCTGCTTCGGCACCTCCGATGGAATGGCACAGCCTTGCTGAAGCGCAGGGAAGACATAAGCAGACAAACCTACTGTAAGAGCATCTCTAGTAGATATCTTAAAAGTCAACCCTTAAAAACACGTTTAAAGGTCCCTTTAAACCGTTCTCACGGTGTAAAACTGGGCCGAAAAGAACAGATATCGTATTACAAACTGTATCTTGAACGATACAACAAGCGGCGACCTCTCATCCGTGCTCTGCCTCGTTCGAGCACCCTCCTACCAGCGCCCCTTCTCCGGCTCCACCCCGCCTGGATTCGGGCTGCCGACGGCTTGGTCCACCCCGCTCATGGCCGGCTCGCCTTGGGGGTGAAGGTCGAGCCGGCCACAGTTTGGAACGACAGCGACCTTTTCCGATGTGCGGCGACAGATTCCGATGAGTTTTGGGTTGATTCCGGCCAGTTTCGCGGCGGCACATCTGCTTTAATGAGATTTGACCGTTTGCGGGTTGAATTGTATATTGCCTTTCAAATTGTACATATGAGGTTCTCGCGGATGAATTCTCGGTGCCCCTTAAAAATTTGAACGGTCGATCGAACTTTACGGGATTTGTTAGGGACCATTTTTTCGATCGAAACTGTAAATGTGTTACTTTTTACGGGTTTGTCCGCTTTTAAGGGGACTTCTAGAGATGCTCTAAATTACAAGTGAAATTGCTGGTGGCTGCCGACAAAAAGTCGTCACATGAAGAAGCGGAGGAGTCAGACATGTAGTTCGAGAAATTGGTTCCATCGCATGGCGGCGGATAGCGCTATAGGCACATGGTGCCTCAAAATGAATGAACGGATACAATGGTACCGAAAAGATAGAGGAAGGTGGAGCCAACTCACGTGGAAGGGGACGTGGAGCAAGCCAAGAATGAGGATGATGATTTCTCGCCTGATGTCTCGAGTCATGGAAATCTTCCCCGGCAAATGGCGTGGCGGGGAAACCCTGTCAGGATGGTCTCCAAATGACCTTGCAAATTTCCCCAGGTTAATGAACCACCGAGGGTTTTTCGCCCAGAAAAATGGCCCAGAGAATCTCTAGCTACCAAACGAGCCCTTACAACACCGCAAATCTTTATCCAATAACATGGTATTGGATCAGACGAACAGTGACACAAGGAGAGGACGCCCCCAACAACGAATAGGAAGTTAATCTGTTCCGTCCCTATGCACAAACTTCATCAAAACAACAACGAATAGAAAGTTATTTGTTTCGTCCCTATGCACAAACTTCATCAAAACAGTTCAGAGTAATAACACAAGAGAATCAGTTACATGGATGAAATCAGATTCGTGCCAAGTTAAATTAAACGTAGATGCCTCGTTTCATTTTGAAAAGGGAGAAGGGGCGACGGGCACGGTTATCCATGACAAGATGGGCAATTTCCCTGCATGTGCATGTTTCGAAATTGTTGTGCAGACGAAACTGCACACACGATGTGTAGCCGACAGTCAAATCCAACCGTAGAACAGTGCTGCTGCTGTGCATCACATGGCTTGAATTTAGCATCGTCCACAAATCGTCTGCGTGGCATCGTGTGTATAGCAGCGTTCTGCATGTTTTTATGTTCCATACTCGTCATCGGCCTATGTTCCATACTCGTCATCGGCCTCGATGATGGAAGCAAGATGGGCAATTTCCCTGCATGTGCATGTTTTTATGTTCCATACTCGTCATCGGCCTATGTTCCATACTCGTCATCGGCCTCGATGATGGAAGCACTGGCAATGAAAAAAGGCGAACTGGTGGCATCCTTTGGCTATCACCAAATCGTCGCTGAATCTGATTGTTTGCAGGTGATTGAAGTTGTTTGCAGGTGATTGAAGCTTGCAAAGGAGGACAAACGTGGTGGAATGAATAAGCTACAGTTTATGCTGATTGTATTGATCTAGTGACGGAAATAGGAATAGTTCAATACTCTCACTGTCTCTGGGAGGCCAATGGTATTCCACATGAGTTAGCGAAACATAGTTACGAGAATCATTTATCTTGTAATTGGGTAGATGATCCCCCGTCTTTTCTTACTATATATCCAGTGAACGATGTAAGTGTGCTTATTTGATTAATAAAGCCATGATGGCATTCACTCAAAAACAAAAAAAGATCAATAGTACAACAATCAATCAATCATGTAAACAAATTATTATGGACTTGCCTTCCATCAGCATATCTATATCAACCAAAAATCGATAGTAATTTAGTACTACCTCTGTGTCAGTACGGAGGTAATACTTGTTCGCCTTTCAGTGGGCTAGGAAAATACTCCCTTTCACCAGCACAAGTGTGCGATCGAAAGCACAAGTATGGATATGGAATGGCTCCGTTTCCCTTTCACCTCTCCTAGCAAAAACTTTGTTCTACTACTGTATCTAAGATGCAAAATACCCATCAAAAAATAACAGTAACGATACTAGAAGATTGTTCTGGATTGCCCCGATGATCCTCAGCTGTAGCGAAGGGAAATGTCCTCTGTAACTTGCGGTACCTCATGCCTCGAGGAGCATCAATTATCCAGATTTCTTCCTTTTCTGGGCCTGCAAAGTCAAAATGCATTGATGCTTATCTATTTGTACAATGCACACAAGTATATGTCTTATCACGCAACACATATGCTAAACTACCTTGTAAAAGAAACTAAACATAATTCTAAGATGGATTTCTTTGTTCACTAACCGCAAAAAAAAATGAATATTAAATTTAACTAATACAGTGGAAAATGAAGAAGAACCAAAGCAAGTACCTCTTGAAGTTTTCGGAATACCGATGCTTCCAAATCGCTGAACCCGGTTCCATCAATGTTGCTTGTCCTCGGTTCAGGTGTTTGAGTTGACCTTGCCGGTAGCCCTCCCGATTCTTGAACAGAAGCAACAATCAATGGGACAGGGAAAACATTGTACACAGAATGGTTCTTCAGTGCAGTTTGCTGTAAAAAGTCAACAAGTGTTGGTTAGCCGCACAACAAAAACATATAATCAATTCCGACAGATAGTACAGCTTGGCAAAGATCCACGCGGTGATATGATATGGAAATGGAACAAATGACATCAATATTGATTATTGAACCATAAACAGAGACAGATAGACGCCATGCATGATAAAACATAGGCATGCGATTGCTTGCAAACTCCTATCTTGTGGTCGATCTGAACTGAGCTCAACTTTATGTGCTAGTTCAAGATCTACCAATACTTTTAATAAAGGTAGAAAAATTCTCCAGGACAAAAAAAACAGTAGATAAATGAAACTTACTGCCGCCTCCTTGGAAGCCATGACAACAATTGCTGAACCCTTGCTCTTTGATTTCCTAGTCTTGATCACAATGTCTTCAACCGTGCCGAATTGCTTAAATATCTCATCAAGCTTTGCTGCAGTGTAGTAATCTGCACCCCCTTCCCAAGAAACCTTCAAGATCTTACCCTTGTCCGTTTTTGGTCCGTTCTCTGGAGTTGCACCCTTCTTATCTCCATGTGCCTAAAAGGAGAAGTAATCAAGTTGTGGTCAGTAGTAGTACCAACATAAAAGATACATATCAACAGATCTCTTGCATAACCTTAAGATTTTACTTTGAAGGTAAGTACTGTTCATGCATTTCTGGGGAATATTACTCTGTTTGTAGGTTAACACTTCTAAAAAAATCATCACCCGCAGTACGAAATTATATACTCTATTACTCTGTTTGAAGGTTATTATCCTCAATGCTACATGCAGTCAGTTACATATTGTTCCACCTTCCTCTGCAAGGTTACAAGTGCAAACCCTGTCCCTCTTCAGTAATACTAATTCAGAAGTATGCGTTTTAGGGGCATCATTTTGGCTTTTATTTACACCTAACGTCTAAAGTCTAAAGCTCAACTTCGGGGCAATTGATTACAAAACCATGATGAGGCAGAATACTAATACAGAAGTACGCTAGCTGGATGAGATCTTTAAGCAATTCGGCATGGTTCAAGTACGCTAGCAAGAGGCAGGCAGCAATTATAGGTGAAACAAGAGCACAGCGCTATCAATCCTACACGAAGAACGAATGAATTGAATAGATTCAAACAACACTGAGACATTACCGGAGTCGAAGCAGAGCCAGAGACGCCTGACTTCTTGGCAGCGAAGAACTCGTCGAGTTCGCGCTTGACGTCGGCAGCCTTCCGCTTATCCTCTCGCCTGGCCAGCTCGACGGGGTCGACGGCGGGGCCTCCGCCGGCGGCGAAGGCGCGCTCGCGCTCCTCTAGGTCGGACACGGCCTTCCGCCGCTTGACCCCGGTGGCCGCGGCGCGGGCTGCGGCCTCGCGGCGGCCACGGAGGCGGACGTCAAACTGACAGCGGAGGGACTCGTCCCGGAGGAACTTGTATGAGCTGGCGAGGCTCTGGAAGTCAGCGGTGGCGTTGGGGTCGTCGGGGCGCTTGTCGGGGTGCCGGAGCCGCGACTGCGTCCGGTAGGCCTTCTCGATCTGCTCGACGCTCAGCGCCGCGCCTTCCTCGCCGGACGGCAGGCAGAGCACCTCGTAGTGGTCGACGTCGTCCCCCTCCTGCCCCATCGCCGCCATCGCGGGACTGGCCGCGATTCGGCGAAACAAGGAGCGCCCGTCAGATGCGGGAGCGTGCGACTACGAGGCGCTGCTCGGGTAATTAGGGAAGGCGGTGCACACTAGCCGAGGGTGGGCGGCCGCGGTCGAGGCTCCTTCGGCGGTGCGGGGATGCCGGCGAGACAAGGGCGGCGCGGCAAGGCGAGCCAAACCCCAGAACAGAGGAGGGCTAACCCTAGAACGCGGGAGAGACCTGAGCGGGGCGACCGGGTGAAGAAACCGCGAAGTGTCGCCGGGGGCGGCGCCGGTGCCGGGTGGGGGGAACGGGGGAGCAAGGATGCGAGGGCGGCGGCGGCGGAGACCCTCGGCGGCTGGAGGCGGGGAGGCGGTGGGGAACGAGAGGCGGTGCGTCAGGCTCAGCCTGACGCCTGAAATATGAAGACGTCTGAAAGTGTTCAGATTTCAGAGTTCAGAAGCTACCTGCAAGTGTTCAAAAATTCAGAACGTTCCGAACAGAGCGAGGATAGCAAAGCAGAGGTAGAGCGAGAGCTTGCAAGATGTGATACTGAGAGCATCTCCACCCGCGCTTCCAAGAAGGCCCTCAGGCGATTTTTCGGTCGCCGTCGTCAAAAAATCGGCCCAGTCACGTTCTCAAGGACCCAGTTTTTGCCGGCTCGGGCCGAAATTGACACTGGCGGACCCAACCCGAACCCGGCGCGCTGGGGGTCGCTCGGGGACGGCGGTCGAATCATTTTTGGCGCGAAGAGCCGCGGGCCAGCCGCGGGCCAGCCGCGTCAGCGACTCCACTCTCTTCTCGCCGCTTCGTCGTCCTCATCGCCTCGTTTCCCGCGGCGAATCAATGCCAAAGTTGCGCGCTGCGCGCGCTGCCGCGCCGGTCAGCCTTCATTGATGCCTCACGGGCGGCGCAGTAAAGGCCGGGCGACGCGCGTCCCCTCGGCCGCCACGCCATCAAGCCACGCGTAACGCGCCGGCCAAGCCTACCACGCGGCGCCTCCGCCTATATAAGCCGACCACCAGCGCGCCGGAGGCACAGACAGACACTACACCGCCGACGCGCCCATTTCTCCCCGCTTCCTCCTCTCGCCGTCTCCAGTCCAAAAGAATGGCCGAGCGCTTTTCAGGCGACGGCACGGCGGCGAATGGCTTCGGGCGCCTGTTGGAAATATGCCCTAGAGGCAATAATAAATTAGTTATTATTATATTATATTTCATTGTTCATGATAATCGTTTATTATCCATGCTAGAATGGTATTGATAGGAAACTCAGATACATGTGTGGATATATAGACAACACCATGTCCCTAGTAAGCCTCTAGTTGACTAGCTCGTTGATCAATAGATGGTTATGGTTTTCTGACCATGGACATTGGATGTCGTTGATAACGGGATCACATCATTAGGAGAATGATGTGATGGACAAGACCCAATCCTAAGCCTAGCACAAAGATCGTGTAGTTCGTATGCTAAAGCTTTTCTAATGTCAAGTATCTTTTCCTTAGACCATGAGATTGTGCAACTCCAGGATTCCGTAGGAGTGCTTTGGGTGTACCAAACGTCACAACGTAACTGGGTGGCTATAAAGGTTCACTACAGGTATCTCCGAAAGTGTGTGTTGGGTTGGCACGAATCGAGACTGGGATTTGTCACTCCGTGTAAACGGAGAGGTATCTCTGGGCCCACTCGGTAGGACATCATCATAATATGCACAATGCGATCAAGGAGTTGATCACGGGATGATGTGTTACGGAACGAGTAAAGAGACTTGCCAGTAACGAGATTGAACAAGGTATCGGGATACCGACGATCGAATCTCGGGCAAGTATCGTACCGATAGACAAAGAAAATTGTATACGAGATTGATTGAATCCTTGACATCGTGGTTCATCCGATGAGATTATCGTGGAGCATGTGGGAGCCAACATGGGTATCCAGATCCCGCTGTTGGTTATTGACCGGAGAGTTGTCTCGGCCATGTCTGCATGACTCCCGAGCCCGTAGGGTCTACACACTTAAGGTTCGATGACGCTAGGGTTATAGGGAATAGATGTACGTGGTTACCGAATGTTGTTCGGAGTCCCGGATGAGATCCCGGACGTCACGAGGAGTTCCGAAATGGTCCGGAGGTAAAGATTTATATATGGAAAGTCATCATACGGTCACCGGAATAATTCGGGGGTTACCGGTATTGTACCGGGACCACCGGAGGGGTTCCGGGGGTCCACCGGGAGGGTCCACCTGCCCCGGAGGCCACTATGGGCTGTGTGTGGAGAGGGACCAGCCCCTTAGTGGGCTGGGCGCCTCCCCTTAGGGCCCATGCGCCTAATGTTTGGGGGAACCCTAAAGGGGGGGCGCTCCCCTTGCCTTGGGGGGCAAGGCAACCCCCCTGGCCGCCGCCCCCTCCTCGGATTGGATCTGAGGGGGCCGACCCCTCTCTCCCTTGCCCCTATATATGTGGAGGGTGGGAGGGCAGCCAGACACAAGTTCTGGCGCAACCCTCCCCCTCTCCCAAGTCCTCCTCTTCTCCCGCGGTGCTTGGCGAAGCCCTGCAGGATTGCCACGCTCCTCCTTCACCACCATGTCGTCGTGCTGCTGCTGGATGGAGTCTTCCCCAACTTCTCTTTCTCTCCTTGCTGGATCAAGGCGTAGGAGACATCACCGGGCTGCACGTGTGTTGAACGCGGAGGCGCCGTGGTTCGGCGCTTAGATCGGAATCAACCGCGATCTGAATCGCTACGAGTATGACTCCTTCATCCGCATTCTTGCAACGCTTCCGCTTAGCGATCTACAAGGGTATGTAGATGCACTCTCCTTTCCCTAGTTGCTAGATTACTCCATAGATTGATCTTGGTGATGCGTAGGAAATTTTAAATTTATGCTACGACCCCCAACAGTGGCATCATGAGTTAGGTCTATGCATAGTTTCTATGCACGAGTAGAACACAAAGTAGTTGCGGGCGTCGATATTGTCAATTATCTTGCCGTTACTAGTCTTATCTTGATTCGGCGGCATTGTGGGATGAAGCGGCCCGGACCGACCTTACACGTACGCTTACGTGAGACTGGTTCCATCGACTGACATGCACTAGTTGCATAAGGTGGCTGGCGGGTGTCTGTCTCTCTCACTTTAGTCGGATCGGATTCGATGAACAGGGTCCTTATGAAGGGTAAATAGAAATTGGCAATTCACGTTGTGGTCTTGGCGTAGGTAAGAAACGTTCTTGCTAGAAACCTATAGCAGCCACGTAAAAACTTGCAACAACAATTAGAGGACGTCTAACTTGTTTTTGCAGCAAGTGTTTTGTGATGTGATATGGACAAAGGATGTGATGTATGAGATGATCATGTTCTTGTAATAGGAATCACGACTTGCATGTCGATGAGTATACAACCGGCAGGAGCCATAGGAGTTGTCTTTATTTATTTATGACCTGCGTGTCAACATAAGCATCATGTAATTACTTTACTTTATTGCTAAAGCGTTAGCCATAGTAGTAGAAGTAATAGATGACGAGACAACTTCAAGAAGACACGATGATGGAGATCATGATGATGGAGATCATGGTGTCATGCCGGTGACAACGATAATCATGGAGCCCCGAAGATGGAGATCAAATGGAGCAAAATGATATTGGCCATATCATGTCACTATTTGATTGCATGTGATGTTTATCATGTTTTACATCTTATTTGCTTAGAACGACGATAGCTTAAATAAGATGATCCCTCACTAAAATTTCAAGATAAGTGTTCCCCCTAACTGTGCACCGTTGCGAAGGTTCGTTGTTTCGAAGCACCACGTGATGATCAGGTGTGATAGATTCTAACGTTCGAATACAACGGGTGTTGACGAGCCTAGCATGTACAGATATGGCCTCGGAACACATGCAATACACTTAGATTGACTTAACGAGCCTAGCATGTACAGACATGGCCTCGGAACACGGAAGACCGAAAGGCCGAACATGAGTCATATAGAAGATACGATCAACATGAGATGTTCACCATTGATGACTAGTCCGTCTCACGTGATGATCGGACACGGCCTAGTCGATTCGGATCATGTTTCACTTAGATGACTAGAGGGATGTCTATCTGAGTGGGAGTTCATTAAATAATGTGATTAGATGAACTCAATTATCATGAACATAGTCTAAATTGTCTTTGCAAATATGTTGTAGATGAATAGCTCACGTTGTAGCTCCCTGTTTCAATAAGTTCCTAGAGAAGATTAAGTTGAAAGATATTGTAAGCAATGATGCAGACTAGGTCCGTAGTCCGAGGAGTGTCCTCACTACTACACAAAAGGCTTACGTCTTTGATGCACCGCTCGATGTGCAAACCCCTACAACGTCGTCTGTGGATGTTGTGAACACCTGACAGACACATCCTGATGACTACTTGATAGTTTAGTGCACCATACTTTACGGCTTAGAATCGGGATTCCAATGACGTTTTGAACGCCGTAGAACATATGAGATGTTCCAAGAGCTGAAATTGGGATTTCAGGCTCATGCCCGTATTGAGAGGTGTGAGACCTCTGACAAGTTCTTTTGCCAACAAGATGGAGGAGAATAGCTCAGCTAATGAGCATGTGCTCAGAATGTCTGGGTGCTACAATCACTTAAATTAAGTGGGAGTTAAACTTCCAGATAAGATAGTGATTGATAGAGTTCTCTAGCCACTATCACTAAGCTACTAGATCTTCGTGATGAACTATGACATGCAAGGGATGGAGTTGATCCCGGAGCTATTCGCGGTACTTAAGACCGCAAAAGGTAGAAATCAAAGAAGGAGCATCAAGTGTTGATGGTTTAACAAGACCACTGGTTTCAAGAAGGGCAAGGGTTAGAAGGGAAACTTCATGGATGGCAAACCAGTTGCCGCTCCAGTGAAGGAACCCAAGGTTGAACCCAAACCCGAGACTGAGTGCTTCTATTGTAAGGGGAACGGTCACTGGTAGCGGAATTACCCCAAATGCATGGTAGATAAGAAGGCTGGCA